AAAATTATATTTAATATGCTAAACATCAAAATGTATCTTTAAAATGAGTTTATTCCCTGTGGCCTTCTTCATTTTTGGCGCATGCCAATTCTCTATAAAAAAAAGGGGACAAATTTATCAAGCCCGGCTCTGTTTCTGAAGAAAACTCAAGGATGCCCAAACCTGTACGTATTTCTTTTTTCTGGACTACATTGAATTAAAACACACGCACACTCTTGTTTTAATTGAGAACAAGATCTGATGAGCACAAAAAGCCTTTATTGCAGCTCTATGAATATGTGACATTTTTTATTAGTAGGCATTATTAAAAGAATCTATTTTGACATGATATTGACTCTGGATAGACTGGGCACAGTTTTTCTTTTCTTTTTTTTTTTTTTGAAAATTATTGGATTTATTTGTAGTCTATGAATTTAAATTTTTACTTTTTATTATTGATTAATATCCTTTTGAATAATATAATTATTTAACTAAGAAAAGTATAAATTAAGAATAAATAGTAAAAATTAAAATCCATACAATTTAAGAGGTATTTGTCTTTGTCTTTTTCTTTTGTTTTTTTTTTTTTTCCTTTTTAATGGGGGCACATAATTACCTTCTTAACTGCAAGTTCTCCCAATTTAGGTACTATACATCTTTGCAGGCGACAGAGAGTATCTACGAGAGAAAATAGTGTGACATTCTAACATTTCATAATTCGGGTTGGTTTGTTTTGCTACCCATCATTACCTAATTTTCAATCGCTCCACCACAAGTGGGCATTTGGTCTAGTGGTATGATTCTCGCTTTGGGTGCGAGAGGTCCCGAGTTCGATTCTCGGAATGCCCCTGTATTTCTTTTGCATTTTCTCCCTTTATTATTATAATATTTTCTTTTATTGTATGATTACATAATACAAATAATCAATATTTTTAATATTTTTTATGAGGTAATAACTTTTTTCCTCATTTACTAGTACTACAATTAAGGGTGATAATTCGTGTTAGTATGTCGTGTTCGTATCAATTTATTTATTAATTGTGTTAGAAAACATTAACCCAAACACGACATGTTCATTAAACGTGTTAAAAATGTCAACTTAAACACGACTCATTTATTAATTGTGTCAATTCGTGTCACATCGTGTTAAGAGGAAAATTCTAACCTAACTAAATTATTAATCGTGTTAATCATATCAATCCGATTATGACCTAAACCCATTTATAGTAAACCCAAACTCACTAACTTTGTATAGATTTCGAGTCGTGTCGTCATGTCGCTACCCGGATTATATGCCCTAACTACAATATTAACCTTTTAACTTCTATAGTAATTTATTGCTTACAAATACTTAAGATGTATTTTTTTTTCTCCTTTATTATTTTGTTAAAAATAGTTTGAACGGCAATTACTACGTTTTTCGCTTAAGGAATAGCATACTTTAAAAATAGTTTGAATGGCAATTACCATGTTTAAAAGGCAATTACCGTGTTTTTTACTTGAGGAGTAGTGTAACTAGAGATTCTTTGAGAATAGGCACATAATTATAACATGTCACGTCATTGTGATACTTTAATTTCAAAAAAAATTAAAATTACGACAAATTTGATATACAATAATAAAATTCTCAACAAATTCTACAATTTAACGAAAAATCACATCTCTATCACATTATAACTAAGAAATTCATACAAACATTTATAATATGTACAAAAAATGAGCTCCTTCACTGTTGTTATAAATCGTTAAAAATTAGAATATCTTACACTTAACATAATTATTGTACCTCGTACTGACGAGTTTTAAACATAATGCCTAAGAGTTTGCTATATCTTGGAAATTCACACAAACATTTATAATCAGTATAAATGTGCTATTCACTATTGTTAGAAATCGTTTAAAACTAAAATATTTTACACTTGATAATACCTCTTGCTAACGAGTTTTAAACAATATGTGCAATATTTTGCTAAAAATATTACCCAGTAAAGAAAACAAAACACATGCCTAGGATACTTTCCTTTTCACATATAAATATAACTCAGGTACTTAAATCCAAATAATTGAAGGTCATGATTGAGGAGAAGGATGATGCTTTAGATGATATTTAAATTGAAAGATTCCCATAAAACTTCAAAATTTCTTTCTTTACGTGTCAAGGGAGAAAACGTAAATATTTTTCTTTTTCAAATGCATAACGTGAATAATTAAGCTTCAACTCCAAAGCAACCAAATAAAATAGAAGACAGTATTATAATAAAGGAGAAAAAAATATAATAAAGGGGGAATCTTAATTATCTGTATGCAATAAAATACAACAAAGAGTATTAAACATTATGCATTAATATTTTACTAAAAATATTCCCCAAAAATAAAAAAACGTGCCTAGACCTTTGTGTTTTTTTTTTTTTTTTTTTGGCTTTGTTGTGAATGGGTGATTAGAACATTTTCTTCTTCAAATAAATAAAAATTATGGCCCGTTTAGTTCGCTGATTTGAGTTTTTAATTTGAGTTGAGATGTGATTTTATGTGAGAACTTTTTACTGTAATAAAAAAGTTAAATGTAACTATTTTTGAGAATTTTTTATTATAACAAAACTCAAATCGATAAAATAAACGGAATCTAAATATATCTTAACTACTAATGCAAATAATTGAGCGATCACTGAGACCCAAGTGGGACATGATTCAAGAAAAGAGGACAATTGCACAAGTTTCTAGATGGTTTTTAAATCGAAAAACTCCCATTAGACTTATATGCATCGTGCCAATTAGACGAACTTGCCATGTTATAGCGTAACAATACTCTCTTATTATTGCTTGGCGATATATAAGTTATTCCTTGTAAGTCTTCATAGCATCCAAAATCCATATAGGTTCATCCTTATCCTTATTCTACATTACAAGACGTACAAGGTAAGAAAGACCCTAATGCTCAAATTCACCGGGGCCGACGCCCAAGGGACAAAAAAAATAAAAAATAAAAAATAAAATAAAAAAAAATAAAACTTGGGATAATAAATCAAACTCAAAAGCGTGAAGCAAAAAAGCAAAAAGGGATAGGATTTTAAGTAACATTCATGTGGCCCTTTTGGGCTTGGCTGTCCCAAATCTACACTTAATCCGTGGAAAACTATATGTTATCCTTTACTTCAATAATACTTGAAACTTCCCAGGGCCAGAGCTATCTTAACATTAAATATGAATATTGTTTTCACATGCATCGAACCCCACATGGACATATCCTCCAACTAAGTGGTCACTGTTACAGTGTTACGATTTGTTTTGTTTCTTATATTTTAATCATGGCATAATATATATAATATTTAAAAAAAAAAAGATAACCAATCCATTATCGACAATACAAGCCTAGTTCTTGCTTCTGATCCGGCCTTTACCATATGCCTACGGCAAGTTTGACAGGATCGGCCTATTACAGTCCCGTTTATTTTACTAATTTAAATTTAAAATTTAAGTTTTGTTACAGTAAAAAATTCTCAGAAATAGTCACATTTATTTTTTTTACTACAATGAAAAACTCTCATATAAAATCACATCTTAACTCAAATTAAAATTTTAAATCAGCGAACTAAACAGACCATACAGTAAAACTTTCAGTTTTCAGTTTTTTTTTTTTTTAACATCTCAAGCCATTAAGCAGATCAATTGCGTTATTGCTCTGAGTTTGATCCTTGAAAAGCTCAGGTCTTGGAACTATAGCGACGCGTGCATAAATATATATATATATTAATATATATATATATTTCCTTGAATTTATCTAGGGTGGGTTTTTTTTTTTAAATATTAATATCTAGGGTGCTGACGTGCTGTTACACTACTAAAAATGTCATTGCGTTACTTTAACGTCGTAACTTTCTAGTTTACTGTTCGTAATACGTCAATATTACTCAAAACTCAATTATCAGTTGTTGTTTTACCGTTTAACAACTAATGTGTCTCAATCGATGAATCCAATTGACGTCATGATCCAATCAATGGAAGTATTCTCAAGATACGAATCAAATGAAATCACACAAAATTGTAATAAATAACGAACATGCCATTTTCATAACAATATCCATTACTTTCGACTTGCCCCTCTTTTCTCAGTCGACCAAAAAGTAATAATAGTAGCAATAACAAACATAAGTTACCGCATTTCCTACCACATGCAATGTTTTTTTTCTCATTTACGAGAAGAATATTTCGGCTGGTTCATTTTATAGATTTAAAATTTTAATTTAAATTAAAATATTATATTTTTTAAAATATTTTAATTATAATAAAAATAATTAAATGTGATATTTTTTAATAATAAAAATTAAAAATTAAAAATTTAAATTAATAAAATGAATAAGACCTTCATCTCATCTTTTTACCACCAAACGACGAAGTCTGTAGAGCGCATCTTTTCCCATGCCGGATTGACGGTGAAGAACATTATAAAGGCTTTCAAAATAGTCCCCTATGATTCAAAGATCAGGATCAGAGCTTCAGGCGTCACGTAGATAGCATTAGGACCCACCTTGTTGAGTCAGTCAGCTCAATCCAGAATGGAAGATTCTCTCGAGTATACCCCCAACCATTAGTTTACAGCCAAAACGGTGTCGTTTCCTACATCCCATAAAGACAGATTATTAAAACCGATTTATTTTATCGATTTAATTTGAGTTTTTAATTTTAAATTTTTACAGTTAAAAATTTTAAAAAATATCACATTTAATTTTTTTTTATTATAATTAAAAATTTTTAAAAAATATCTCACCTTAACTCTTATTAAAAACTCGAATCTAACGAACGAGGCTAAGAGTACGTTTGGTTGGAGGATTCAAACAATGTGATTTGAATCATTTTCAATTTACGTGAATTTTTTATAAGAGAAAATACTGTAACGAACTACGAATTATGATTCAAATCAAGGAACGAATCCCTCTATCAAACATCCTCTAAGATTACGTATTTACCAATTTAGCCTCTGCCCGGGCGCTTTCTCTGTATAAAATCTCACCTCCTTTGTTTTTTTTTTTGCACATTTTCACATATATCCTCTTTCCCTTTCCTAAAATTCCTTCGAAAATCAACAGGTACAGTGGAATACGTCCAACTTTGGCCAAGTATAAAAGCCATTTTATCTTCTTCTAACACTAGCAACAACTACAAGAGTCCGGTGACCCTCAAGACCTTATTCTTTAACCATGCCTTCCCCTTCCGCTCCTTGTTCTGCACTCTCTCTGTCGGATCAACTAAATCTCGTCGACAAACTCGAAGTGTTCAAGATCCAAGGCCGAGACAAACTCGGTCGCAAGGTTCTTCGCATCATCGGAAAGTTCTTTCCCGGTAAACACGTCTTTAATTTCTTTGTACTTTTCTTTCTTAATCTCCTCGATCGCTTCTCCTAATTGAATTTTTTTTTTTTTTTCATTTTGGTGATCAACAGCTCGGCTTGTGAGCAGGGAGGCTCTGAACAAGTATTTGGAAGACAGAGTTTTCCCAAACCTAAACGAGAAGCCTTTCTCAGTGGTGTACGTTCACACAGATGTTCAACGGAGCGAAAACTTCCCCGGAATCTCCACCCTCCGGTCAATCTGCGAGGCCATTCCCGGCGAGGTCAAGGAAAATCTTGAAGCTGTATATTTCGTTCATCCGGGATTACAGGCCCGTCTTTTCCTAGCCACTTTTGGTCGCTTCATTTTCAGCGTAAGGTAATCAATTTTAATTTAGGTTGGGAGGTGATATTTTATAAAAAATTTTAATCGCAGTAAAAAAATTAAACATAATATATTTTGAAAAATTTTAATTATAAAAATTTAAAATTAAAATAATTAAAATGAATAAGATTAAATGGATGTTTAATTTATAAATTTTAAATTATAATTTAAAATTATTTTTAATTTATGTATATTTTTTTAAAAAAATATTATAATAAATCACAATTCAAATTATTTCTTAAATTTTTATATTAAACACTCTAAAAGTTATTATTAGAATATTTAATATAAAAATTTATGTTATAATTTAAATTACAATTCATAATTTATTATAAAAATTTTTTTATAAAAAATACACATAAATTAAAAATAATTTTAAATTTATAAATTAAATATTCACTATCTTTTTAAGTCTAATGAGTGCAAAGAAATTTGGTAATGGTAGTTTTAACGCAGGTTGTACGGGAAGATAAACTACGTGTCCAGGTTGCAGTTTCTGTGGGACCATGTGAGGAGGACTGAGATGGAAATTCCGAAATTCGCGTATGATCATGATGAGGAGCTGGAGTACCGTCCTATAATGGGTTTCGGGTTAGAGAGTGATCATCCCGGTGCGCTTCCCATGTTGGACTCTCCTCTTTACATGTATTCCACGCGCTGCATCGCATAGGAATACGGCTCTAATCATTTGAAGAATGGATCGGTTCTTGGGAAGTTTCCGTTTTCATGGTTTCGTGTGTTTGCTTTTGTTGATATTTTGTACATAGTGAGTTTGTGCCTTTTGTTTGTTTTTTACTGTGTGGATCTACTTTTGTTATAAAATGAAAATCAGTGTCCTCGACAATGACACGTGATCCTCACTCGTAAATATCTTTTTAGGAGCGGTTGGTTGGGCTTATCTGGTCTCGGATTTGTCACAAAAGTCGTGAGATTAGTTAATAATAGTCCGCCTAGCAAAGATAGCAGTCCCTTCTTCTTATGGATCCCATCAAATGAAGAAAATTAAGCGTACATTAGGGCAAAAGTCAAATATAATTATACATTTTATTTTTAATAAAATACAGAACCAAAGAAAGATGCACAATCCAAAAGCATATCCACCACAAGGCCTTAAAAAGAGAAAAAAGGATGAAGCTCGGAGTGATCCTATCGCAACAATTGATGACAGGATAAATTTATTGGAGCGGAATGAATACAGCTCTAAACAAGGATTGTAAATTTCGTATCAGATAACATCTTGAACACTATAGCTATACACACAGGCACAGCACAGAGAAGCAATTTAGCAGGGATTAGGAGAAACCCATATTGGTGTAGGCCAATGCTACCTGCAATGAGAATTCCATTGTCCTTCGATTTTCCCGTCGGACAAACAGAAAATGCCAGAATCACACTCGCCAAAAACACACATTATTAAGCTCGGAGAAATCATCCGTGAAGTATATGCAATTCCCAGCACACCCCGGAAAATTAAAAGCCCAAAATAACATTTAAAATTCGTTTTAAAATAATTTTATTTTTTATATGAAAATAAAAATAAAAATATTTTCTTTTATTTTACACTAAATTAAATATTTATTTTTATTTTTATTTTTATTTTTTATTTTTTCTTCGTAAAAAAACATAAAAAAAAAAACTGGCTCAATTTCAACGCGAAGTTTTGGCCAATAAACAGCATCCTAAAAAACGTCGAATCCAACCGTCCGATTAAGGTCCCCAACATCAGCGTAATCCAGATCCAAGTACCGAGAAACCAGCAACCAACCACCACCAGATATCACCAAATACAGCATATCAGCACCGACCTGACTCGGCGGTCGGATGATGTCAACCGCCGGCGGCGAACTCCGAGCGTCGCACACCGCAATGGCGCCTTATTTGTTCAACGCGTAGAACAATCCGTCGAAGAAAACGACATCCTCGCTGTACGACCTCGCACCGTCGATAAAGCTCCAGGCTTGGTCTCCTTCCTTAGAGAAGGCCAAATCGCGGGTTTGATTGAGAATCGCTAGCCGTTGGGATTCAGGGAACTGGATGATAGAACGACTTTCTTGATGAAGGAATGGCGAATTTGCCGGAGATCGAGGGTGTATTGATAGCCGGCGGAGGTTCGGAGGGCGAGTTCGAGGCCGATTTCGGAGTAGGAGAAGCGGAGGACGTTGGGGAAGGCGAGAGCGAAGGGAGGAGGTGGAGGAGCTTGGCGCGGGTAAGGGAGTTGAGGAGGAGGACGGAGGGGCTCTCGTCGAGGATGACGAGCCCGCCGTGGGAGGAGCCGCATCAGCGGAGGCGCTTGCCGCCAGAAGCTTCTGGAAGGTTGAGGAAGTGGAATTTGTCGCTGGAGAGGTCGAAGAAGGCGCGGTTGGGGCGGCGGTGGTGGGAGTGGGGGAGCATCAGCCATGGGAGTTGAGGAGGGAGGTTTTCAGGCGTTTTGGGGGCGGAGGACTGCCAGCTCCGGCAGACGCATCGGAATCGGAGGTAATCGGCGTAGATTGTGAGTTTTTGGCGATTGATTCCAGAAGTTCCGGTGGGAGTTGGGTCCAGTCCACCGCCATTTTTGTCTAATACGATCTAAGGTCAAAGTCTTCTGTATTTTTGATTCGCTAAAATGTCTCACGGTAATCAGCAAAATAGAGAAGGAACCTCTCTCCTTTTTTCAATTATATGACCTGTGAACAAGAACTGATAGTCTGATAAAGATAGCGGGGCCCACAAAGTGACTAATAAATGATTGTTGAGATAATATGAGATTGCTTAAACAATCAACTGTTATGTATCACTGCACATAAGAATTTACGATCTCACCATAAAAAGTCAAACTGTTAAAACTTCTACTAATGATGTCTGATTGTCACCAACTTGAACTGGACATCTTACCAAGGGTCTGATAATTTTTGTTTAGAGATTTCTATGCAGATGATGTCATATAACCCAACTCTCGCTGTAACCTTTTTCTTGCCAGAAAAGGTTGAACCGGGAGCACTTCTGGAAGAACCGGAGTTGCTGGTTCAAGTTTGACTAGTATGTCCTAAGATTTACTCAGCCATGGTATTGGACTCGGTGCAAGTTATACCATTTGTCTGCAAGGTGCTAGCCTTTTCCCAAGGAAAAGAAAATAACATTTAAGGAAAAGTGAAATGGTGGATCTTCCATATGTTTAGCAGTTTATTGCTTTTTACTTGATAAGAATTGCATATTTAAGTCTCATTCATTTCACCGATTTGAGTTTAGAATTCAAGTTTTACTACAATGAAAAGCTCTAAAAAACAGTCACATCTAACTTTTTTGTTAGAGTAAAAATTTTTTACATAAAATTACATCTCAACTCAAATTAAAAATTCAAATCAATGAACTAAACGGCCTTAAGATTTTACCTCTTCACATCACTGGATAACTTGGGCAAGCCTTTAACTTACGGGCTTCAATATAGCAGGGCCAATAAATTGCGGTTTTATGCTCCAAACATGAAGATGAGAAAAATTTCCCTTTTCTCAAGAATACTGAAATTACTGCATTAGTATCATAGACAGGAAACTGTATTATTCATGATCTTGATGTTTAAGTTACTACTAGACGAACTCGATCAAGGGTAATGCTTCGTTTTAGACATCTTTAAGGAAAGAAAATTGCGTAAAGCTGAAATGAGATCTTTAACTAATATTCAACTAAAGAGATATTAAAACAGAGATGTTGGCTTCCGCTAACAAGAAACGAATTTTAGATGTCTTTAAGCAAAGGAAACAGCGTAAAGATGAAATCAGATCTTTAACTAATATCCAACTAAAGAGATAATAAAACAGAGCTATCGCCTAGAGATCGTTAACTAATATCCAAAGAAGAAGAAGAAGAAGAAGAGAAACAGAGACATTGGCTTCCTCCTAAATCCTACAAATTTAAGTTGCTAATTGCACTAACTCTTCTTCTGCTGCATTATGGGCTGGAAAAACAAACTTAATTTCAAGGCACAAAATACAGATTAAAATATGACCTAAATCTGTTTTCCCAAAAGCCAGAAATAGATAAGATTGACACGTGAAATATAATTCCTTGCTGAAAAAACAAACAGAATTCTTGCTCACAATATCCAAAAATTCGGAGGTTTCTATAGCCATATAATTAGTATGTAAGCACGCTTAAATAAATAAAGGCATACATCAAGGATAAATCTATATGTAGAAACCTGATGCCTGCAAGGCATTTCATTTCACTCAACCTTGTTCTCCACATCAGTACTATTATTGTTAGTTGTGTTTTTGTTATCAACTGCTTGGAAATCCGGGTAATTCCGATAGTTCAGAGAGTGCAACCAAAGAGCCACCACACCTTCTTTTTGCTCTGTCAATCCAATATGCGAGTATATGTGCTTCATTTTAAACTCCTCCGCCTCTTCTGCATATGCCTTCATCGACATCTCTTCATGACTGTCTTTCCACTTTTTGTTATATGATGAAAACAGACACTCGTCCAAGTACAAACCAACTTCAGGAGCCGTTGGTATATTGATGTTAACATCCCTAAGTTTTGGCATAAACATATCAATAAGAACCAATATAATGTTATGACCATACCAATAGTTGTTTCATTGCCGTAAAAATTCTAGCTTTGATCAGTAGAAGGTGAAATTATCTATTAAAAATGAAACCAATTGTTGGTAATGACTTGCTAAATTGATGATAATGGTTAGTATTAGAAACAAAACAAACGAAAGATTAAAAAAAAAAAGAGCTTACTTTTGCAGAGCGTTCTCCATCAAGGACTCGGGAACACAATTCCTCATGATTGCCACAGCAAGCCCAATCATCTTCCTGATCTGATGAAGCATGAAGCTCTGCCCCACCACCTCACACTTGACAAATTCCATGCCTTCAACCGGTATGACCGTGTTCGCATTGAACGAAATGATGAATCGCTGAGCTGCAGGGTCTTCGGCTTTCGTTCTGGTGGTGAAGTTATGGAAGTTATGAGTCCCCTCATAGTGCTTCAAAATTCTATTAAACCTCTCTCTCTCCTTCTCACCATAAGAAAAATCACTTCTCTTCTCAGGCTTCTGCTCTCCATTGACATTTCCTTCCTCACCAGTACTAACCTCATTGTCCAGAGTTCTACCTTCAACCTGGTTGGTTTCTGAATCCCCATTTTCGACCTTAACTTCCCCATCACCATTTACTGAAGCAACTCCATTTTCGTCCCTAACTACAGAGACTACTTTTGTATCGCAAATGTTCGACGAAATGCCCGAATTAAAACTCGCACGGTTGGTTTCCGAATCCCCATTTTCAACCTTAACTTCCCCAACACCATTTACTGAAGCAACTCTATTTTCCTCGGTAACTACAGAGTCTACTTTTGCATCGCAAATATTCGACGAAATGCCCAGATCAAAACTCGCACGGTTGGTCTCCGAATCCCCATTTTCAACAGAGTCTACTTTTGCATCGCAAATGTTCGACGAAATGCCCGAATCAAAACTCGCATGGTTGGTTTCCGAATCCCCATTTTCAACCTTAACTTCCCCAATATCATTTATTGAAGCAACTACGTTTTCGTCGCTAACTACAGAGTCTACTTTTGCATCGCAGATGTTCAACGAAATGCCCGAATCAAAACTCGCACCAGTCAACTCATAACTCCGCTTTCCCATCAACCCCGGAACCTTGCGGCCTCTTTCGGAGCATTCGACACACTTAACAAGCTCACTCTCAGATCCCAAACTAGCCAAGACGCTCTCTCTATTGGGATGCGAGCTTGGATCAAGAGCAAACACCGGAATAAGATAAACATACCTTCTCCGATCACAGAACTTCTTGGCGTTAAACGACGCCGTCACGCGCTTGTATCCGAAAATCCGAATCTGCGGCGAAAGCTTGGAATTGAGGCGCTCGACGAGGCCCGGCGGATCGATGTAGAACCGGCCCGAGACCACTTGGCCCACGGCGCTGACGCCCTTATCGGTACGGGCCGATCGGGCCCAATCGTATCGTTTGGGGCAGTAACGGTCCTGTTCGGGAACGGCGCCGGAGAGGTAGAGCGCTTCTTCGAGGTCGCCTTCTATGGTTTTAGCGCCTGGGTTCTTTTGCATCCCTTGGTATCCAACACCGCAATAAGCGAAGAAGATGGCGATTTTGCGGCGCTTGTACCTTTCCTTTTTGGCGTTTCCGGTGGTCATTTCTTCGTCGTCTGAGGTGGTGCTGGTCGACATTTTCAGCTTCTTCGCGTCTGGTTCTTCCGGCGGCGGCGGCGGCGGCGGAGTCGGAGATCTTGTCGTTTTCGTGTCCAAGTCTTCCATTTTCAGTCACGCGAGAGGGGATTATGGATTGAATACGCCATTTAAGGTCTCATTTCTTAGGCGGATTTGCAAAAATTGGCGCTTTGGCTCTGTACTCTCGTAAAACCCTAGAAGTAGAACGAAATAAACCTTAATTTTCAATTAATTTCAACCTTTTTTATTAAAAAAAAAAAATTTCTCGGCTGGAAAGAGCTTCGGTTGTGGGCAACGGAGAAAAATATAGGCCCAATATTGGTGGCCCACGATTGTAAATCCCAGCTCAGGCCCGATATATGGAATCCTTAAAAAAGTTTTTTTTGTTAATTAAAAAAATTTACTAATAATCATGAAATATAACAAAACATTAAAAAAGTTGTTAACGTCTAAACTATTTAAAAAGAGTAAGAATTAAAATTATTAAAATGAATATCCTATGTAATAATTACTACGTAAAATTATTATTTCTAAAATATTTCATAAAAGTTATTTTATTACAATAAAAAAATTAATAGGAAATTCACCCACTGAGCCAATTAGGAGCCAATTAGGAGCCAATTAAGACCGAGTGGATTATTTTATATGTGAAAAATACATGTATAGATAAATATTGTGTCATATTAATATATACGTGTATAGCTCATAATATTGTGTCATAATACGTTTCGATTAATATAATTATTTAATTAAAATGAATATTAATTAAAAATAAAGTAAATATTTAGACATTCCGTTTAAGAGGTGCGTGTCTCATTTCTTCAAAATTAAAAATTCTAATTAACATGGATATTAACTAAAAATAATCTTATAATTATAATTAAAATTTATCTTAATTATTATCTTTCACTGATATAATTTATGACGTAATCTAATTGCCTCCATGTCACTCTCAACTAAAAAGGAATCACCCCATCCATGTCTTAAACGAAGCACCGTTGAAGTCCCTCTCAAAAAAAACAAAAAAAAAAGGAGAAAAATGAAAATCGAAAAACAACCGTTGAAGTTGCATTGGCAGGATTATTCGAAATCTTGCAGGACACAATTTTTTAATCAAGCTACAGTGCATAGCGAACCAGTGGACTCGCTAGACCTTCAGATTTTGAACCGTCGACCTATCATGATGGATCGCCGCCTCTCCTATCAGAACCGTTCATATAGTGGGGACCACACTTCCAAACCCGCGTCGTTCGCTAGATTCTCGCGCCACATACACACGGAAAAGGAGGGAAATATGAATACGGAAGAGACTTCGGACGACACCAATCCAAACCCAAAAGGCGATTCCCTTTTTTTTCACGAACCATTTCCTTTCTCGTACAACTTGTCTTCTGAAACTAGCCATTTCGCACTGGGCTTACGTCTGCGAATAGTAGCAGAAATTCAATCATCTCCGAATTTTCCTTTTTTTTTTGTTTTTTTCTTTACCTTTATGGGCGAAATTGAGTGATTATGAATTTGAGACTCGGTGGACCTAGAGGAATTTCAAGCCTTTTTGTCACTCTATTTAAAGACCAAACTTGCAATCGCTAATCAACGCTGAAAATTCCCAACCTTCACTCCTATATGTTTCTTCCTCGTGGTTTAAATTTCTAGGTTTTCATTTTTTTTTTTCTTCTCTGATTTTCTTTTCTTGTCCTCGTATTTGATTCTGATTTTATTGAAGCAATGGGATAAAAGTTTAGTTTGGGTTGTCGGAGAATGAACGAGAATTATAGCTTACTCTCTTGATTTCATATCTGTCTATTATTTTGCTTGCAGGAAATTTTTACGTTGTGTACCTTTTGCAATCCGGTGTTAAGCTTTTGGAAAGTGTAAATTTTGAACTGAGATGGATTCCAGTGGAAATGTATGCAACTTCAAAACACTGGGTTCTTTTAAACATTTCAGTTTCCTTTCCTTTCTTTCTTTCCTTTCTTTTTTTTTTTTTTTTTCCATTTGATATCGTATTTTATTTAATTGCAGGGATTGCCAGATAATAATCAACAAGATGATATTGGTACGACTTTAACAAGCATCTCTCGTTTTATGACACAATTTTGTTAGTCTTTGGAACTTACTGTTTTCATAGCATTTTAGAGGACCTGTAAAAGTTGTTATTTTCAATAGATGAGGAAAACTGATGGTTACAGGTTATCACTCACTCACACACACACACACACATACGCGCAGGTGTATATATAGTGTGTGTATATATATATATATGTATATGGGGTTGAAATATCGATCAATGTTTGATTAAGTGAGTGGATATGATGGAATGAGGAGCTCACTGGTAGAAATTCCTCTTTTAATCTTGTCTACAGTGGTGGCAAAGTGAAACAAGACTTGGTTGTTATTTGTTAAAAAAAGAGTGGGTCTTCCAAATGATCTTTTATATTGAGAATGATTTGTACATGCAGGTGCTGTTGTACGCAGTGGAAGGGAAATTCTTTTTCAGGTAAATTTTACGGATCCAAATCCTCTATCTAAATTTTATGAGATGTTTGTTTTAAGGGTTCGTCATTGGTTCTGAATCATAGTTCTTAGTTCTCTACAGTGTTTTTCTCTCACAAAAAATTTGAATTTCAAAAATCAAAATCATGAATCATGGTTCTAAATCCATGAATCAAACGTCCTATTAGTGTCTTAAATGGTGTCTAACCAATCAAATCACACTACATCATCCCAGGATAAGCACAAAAGAGTTAGTTAAAAAGTAATTCAAAATTTTTATATGATATGGTGTGATATGATTGGTTAGACACCAATTGAGACACTAAAATTAGAGAGGAGATCTGAGTCCAAATTTTACAATTGTCTTGTTTAATTTCTTCGTAGATCAGGGAGATGTTAATCGATGTAATTATATGCCAATATTATGCACATAAAATTCTGCAATAACTAATCAACAAAAGATATTTCAATTGGAGATCGAACTTATTTAGAAGGATTTGGTCGCTACAAGTGCGTCATTCCCACTATATCAGTCTTCTACTTGCTAGCGAAGAAAGTTTGAACACCATGATTTGATAGAAAATTGATTTACAGGCTTTCAACTGGGAGTCTCACAAGCATGATTGGTGGAGAAATTTAGACAGAAAAGTTCCTGATATTGCACAATCTGGGTTCACTTCAGCATGGTTGCCACCAGCAACTCAGTCCTTATCCCCTGAAGGTCTCTGGCAATACATTTGACCTTTTGTCATGTTGTTTCTTGACATATCTGTCTAGGCTATTATATCCTTAGCTACTTTTTTTTTTTTTTTTCCTTCCCAATAACAGGTTACCTTCCACAGAACCTTTATTCCCTCAACTCTAAATATGGTTCTGAACACTTATTAAAAGCTCTACTTCAAAAAATGAAGCAACACAAAGTTAGGGCAATGGCTGATATAGTCATCAATCATCGTGTCGGTACTACTAGAGGTCATGGTGGGAAGTACAACCGTTATGATGGAATTCCCCTGCCGTGGGATGAACGGGCTGTTACATCTTGTACTGGTGGATTGGTAACTAACTTTCATGTAGCTATCTTGACATTTGTTGGCATCACGTGAAGTCACTAACCTTCTTAGAAGTCTTTGTGTTTGTTGCATCACAGGGTAATCGGAGCACTGGGGATAACTTCAATGGTGTTCCGAATATCGATCACAGCCAAGATTTTGTCCGAAAGGACATCATAGGTTGGCTTCGGTGGCTACGTCAAACTGTTGGGTTTCAGGATTTTCGCTTTGATTTTGCAAGAGGGTAGGAATTATTAAGGTTTTGAAAATCAGTTTGGTCTTTAGTGTGCTGATCTGTTTCTCAACTTTTTTATTCTTAATGTAAACAATTAGGTACTCTGCAAAGTACGTCAAAGAATACATTGAAGGAGCAAAGCCATTGTTTTCTGTTGGGGAATGTTGGGATTCTTGCAACTACAATGGTCATGGCTTGGACTCTAACCAAGGTAAAATACATCATTTACATCAAGCACCAAAATTAAACTTCATGAGGTGAAGCTCAAATACCAAAATGTTTAATCATCGAGGTTTAGGCTTGGTCTTTCACCTATCATGTATGGTGTAATGGCATCTCATGCCAAGAAAAAAGCGGGGTTGAACCTAACTCACAACCCAGGGGATCCCGGAGCTTTTGCCCGCTCATCATCAATCCCATTCTACCACTCTATTAGTATCAATTCTTACTCTTGTCAGTCTCCTTGCAAGAAACTAAGGGTCCGTTTGGTAGAGGGATTCGTTCCCTGATTTGAATCATGATTCATTGTTCGCTACAGTATTTGCTCTCACAAAAAATTCACGTAAATCGAAAATGGTTCAAATCACATAGTTTGAATCCTCCAACCAAACGTCCTCTTAAATCATTTCTTTGATAGGGCATACTATAGAACATGTTAGATGTGTATCTGAACTCCAAAGTAACTTTTGCACAGATAAAGATGTATAATATTGCTGTTAGCTATAGAACAGGTTAAATGCGAGCTTATTTTGTGAATAAGCATGCATTGATTAACAGCTCCATTCATTTCTCAATAAATGCGAGCTTATTTTATCTGCAGCTTTTTTTTTTTTTTTTATGCATTACGTTGAGAAAGAGCATGTTAAATGCTTTGCAAGCAATTTATATTACATTAGAAAGATGATCAAAGTATGCCATCATGAATACTTATCCATGAGAAAGACTAGCTTACACCAATTTGACCTGCTCTTTTAACGTGTTATTACCCGTTTCACTTGGATACTAATCCCTAAGACTAGCACACACGCATTTGGCATGTTCTTTTATCATGTTATTACCAGTTTGTGGTATTAATCATTTCTCTTCTTCTAAAGAGTGATTATGGATATATTATTCTAAATATGATTCTACTATTATAATTTCTTTGCGTGGACAAACATCACCTGCAGATGGCCATAGACAGCGTATTGTAAATTGGATCGATGGCACAGGACAGCTTTCAACTGCATTTGACTTCACAACAAAGGGAGTCCTTCAGGTATTCTTTGAATGAGTATAAGCTGAGAAATTAATTTGTACTACCAGCTAAGAGTATCTAACAAATATTTTACCAAAATGTTCTTGATGAATATATTACGGGCCAATCACATCTAGATGCTATAAAACAGAGGTGCTACTAAGTACTAAGCAGCCATAAGATGATCTTCATTCCCTTTGTTCGGATGAATCCACCCACAACATTTTCAGTACCAAAATTTCCAATTTTGCGCTATCTCCTTTTTTTCTAAAATTGTGATTTATTTGGTTCTGGATTACGCTAGTATCATTTCAATTCTCCACGAATGTAATCTTTGATTCTGGATTACCATAGAATCATTTCAATCTTTGTTCTGGATTAACTGAAATCTCTTCTCTAAATTTGTCTTCTGTTTTTCACTTAAGTCTATGTACTCTCGTATTCTATGCAGGAAGCTGTCAAGGGACAATTGTGGCGTCTACGTGATCCCCAGGGGAAACCACCGGGTCTGATGGGATGGTGGCCTTCAAGGGCTGTCACATTTTTGGATAACCATGATACAGGCTCAACGCAGGTATTACGATTATGTATAATACTTATTATTAAACAATAAACTGAAATGCTTCTTTCAACCAAAAAAAAAAACAAACAAACAAATAAACTGAAATGCTTTTATACAAGTTCTTTATATTCTACGGTTGGGCATTTCCTTTTGTCCCGCCTCGGTGAAGGTGAACTTGCTTTTGCACTTGGCAATTTAGCTAAAACTGTTGTATTGGTCAAACTTCTGAATAGTTTTGACTGGGGTAAACAGGTCTGGTTAAGATGCGCACTGTTATTGGCCCCGCCAACCTGACTCGTGACACGTTATTTACAATTTTTATATTTTTTATATGTTTACTTGGTGGATAATTATTAGTATTCACAAAAACTGTTTAAACAGGCAATCTGCTCACCACTTTTTTTGTTTTTTTTTGTTTTTTTTAATCCTACAGGCTCATTGGCCCTTCCCCGGTAATCATATCATGGAGGTATGTAATTTGTTGCTTGCGTCTACCTTATTTTTGCAAACAAAATAAGTATAAATAATATTTTGGTTTATTTCCTTTTTCCCAACAGCTTGTCTTGAGCTTTTAGTGTGTTGAACTTGCATGTATAATATAACCACACCCTGTCTACTACTTTTTTTTTTTGGATATATTCAAAACTCAAAAGTGATAACAAAAGAAGCAGAGAAAAACACTAGTAGATCTTTCCGTTGTAATTGTATAGACCAGAACAAAGTATCTGGATTGGATCTGATGCGTGTAAGAGATGGCAAAAAGCGTATATATTACATGTAGTAGATATATAGATAATGGGTTGCCTGATGGCTCATTTGATGGGATTGTGAAGGTGGTAGAGTGTCCACTGTCCAGGGCCTCGCTGAGTGACAAGTATCACAACTAAGACAGAACTGACAACTTATGGTGTCGGGTTCGGTTACCGTTTAGTATTATAATTTTTTTCTTTTTTTTTTTTGGTTGACTAAGATATATTCTTGTTCTGCTATGCGTCTTCTTTTTTATTTATTTTTGGGCAAAAATTGTTCTGTTCCGAGTCTAGAATCAAGATTTGAGTAATATTAGGATATCAAAGCCAATGTTTTTCTGTGAGAAGATGAAATACCGTTTGTTTTGCTGAACTCATTGTTGCTAATGAGTAAATGTGATTGGTTATAACTTCTAGCGCGTGAGATTTACTATATTTGCAATCTTGCTACTTCTTTTTCATTTTTAATCTCCATTTAGCTTAACAAAACTTCAATTGTACTCTGTTTTTTTTTTTATTTACATTCAATTGTACCCGTTACTTCTGTCTTTTTCTCTCCCTGAAATCATACTGACTATGCTATCCACAGGGTTACGCTTACATACTCACGCACCCAGGAATTCCAACAGTTTTTTATGACCATTTTTACGATTGGGGCAACTCCTCTCATGACCAAATTGTGAAGCTGGTATATGCTGCTTGGATGATTGATTCCCCTAGTTCAAATTGCATCTTCTTTAACTAAAATTTCTGGAAATTATTAAAAATAACAATGATTTGGAGATATTTTGAATTGTCTGCAGATTGACATTCGGAAGCGCCAAGACATTCATAGCAGATCATCTATCAGGATCATGGAAGCCCAGCCTAACCTCTACTCTGCAATGATTGGTGAAAAAGTCTGCATGAAGATCGGGGACGGTTCGTGGTCTCCGGCCGACAGGGAGTGGACACTTGCAGCCTCCGGCCATAGATATGCGGTGTGGCAAAAGTAATCCTTATACATTCTAATGTCCTTCATATTTTCTTCTTGGAATACCTTGAAATAGAGAGGCTGCTAGGCTGGGCTAAATAGAAGGTTAAAGAGTAACTTCGTCTAGTAATATTGTGTTTGTATCAAATTATCAAACTTTTTGTGTGTATCTAATCATCAATAATATTTAATAATATTATCTTGGGAAAGTTTTGGGAATAAATTTTGAGATACAAGGTCTTGATTGGAAAACCAATTGTGTGTGTGTCATCATATGAACTTATAGGAAGCTAAAAAAAAACCTCTAAGTAAATAAACATTAAACTATAAAATATGGAGTAAATTTGCCAAATAGAATTCTGTTGTTTTATTATTTTGGGAAAAAAAAAAGGAGAGGTTTTGCATATGATTACTCTGACGCCCATCGGAGTCATCAGAAGGCCAAAAAACAATCTCACCATTCCTTCGAAGGAAAAAAAAAAAAACTCGGCAATCTTAAATCAATCTTTGCAGAGTGCAAGAGGCAAAAGCTAATAACATGTATGATTTGGACATAGCAAACAAGTGAATGAATCACAGATAAGGACTTAAGTTATTTAATTATACGCAAGCTTGAAGTCCAAATTATAGCTTGAAAAAAAAAAAAAAAAAACACTATGAGAGTATGAAAACCTTTAGAGGTTTTTAATCAATATTTATCAAATTTTATTAAATTATCCTTCACATTTTAATGTGATTTGATGGTTAAAACTCTGGTTTATTAAAAAAAAAAAAAAAAAAACTCTACCAATTTTACGTGTAGTATAATTATTTGGAGCAAAAAAAATCTTATCTCGAAACTGAAATTAGCCCTTCCAATGTGTATCCAGTTGAGACTAGTTAAGCTCGGCTCGTAATACAAACAAACAAAAAAGGTATGCTCACATGCAAAACTTACACAAGAAAATGAAGGAATTGCTGAAAAGCACGACACAAAAAGAATAATAGAACTCCAAAATAAAGATGGGAAAAGTTGGGTCATATGGAGACTTTTTGATGTCCCGGAAAATTTATTTCACGTGTTTAAATTTATAATTTTAAATTTGTTATAATATTTTTTTCTCATTAAAAATTTAAAATTTAAATATTAAAATTAAAAATCCTTAATTTAAACGCATAATCAAGCGGATCCGAATTTCATAATTAGCACACCAACCAAGTGTGTGAGAGACAAGAGACAAGGAATTCCATTTTTATGTTCCCATTGACATATATATATATATATATATATGAGATATACCATTATAACAATTTGTTGATAAATGGACATAAATTGTGTTCAATAGTATTTGTTGATTTGTGACTGGGCCCATGCTGTTGGTAGCCAGGTTTGGTAACTAATAATGGACATCACTAGAAATTCACATTTGTACTATTAAGATTTTTACACCCATCTATCAAGTAGTGTGAGTGAGCGAGCAAGTGAGAGAGAGAGAGAGAGAGAGAGAGAATCACATGACAGTGGAGCTGGAAAGAGACTCACCCACATCGCCATCACAGACATCGTCATCAACCTCATCATTCTTGTTTTGAAACTCAAAAACACACATTCGTCCTCCCACCACATCCATCCACCAAATAACAAGAACTAATTCTCTCTCTCTCTCTCTCTCTCTCTCTCTCTCTCTCTCTCTTATGGGTGCTTAAAGCACATATCCAAATTCCAACCTCTCTCTCTCTCTTTCTCATACACAAGCTATCACGTGGCATGCACAAAGTGTCAGCATTATTATCATTTTGATGAAAAGAATGACACCCTTTTGTCTTTAATGATCCTTTCATACTCCAGTTTCAAATAATCATCATCCTTCCCAAATATTATTTTTCCTCTCTTTGAGGTCGACGGAGGCGATGTTGATCGAGAGTTCACCATTCACGTGTTACCTGTACATATCATAGATACATATTTATTTGTTTCTTTTAACAGCCATATGCTCCATATGTGTATTACTCTTCCACTTTATATATATATATATATATATATATATATATATTGTATTAGAAGCGCCAATAATAAATTGATACTTACAAAAAAAAACTACTAGATTGTATACGCTTCTTTAACATCTGCCACTTTCTTGATTTCAAATTAAACAAAAAAATAATAATTCGATCAGAATTAAACAAAATAATAGTATCTTATTTAACACATATCCGGACCTTCTTCTTTTTTACTTAATTAATATAGCTAAAACGGGCCAGCTGGGTCTTATATCTCATGAAACCCTAGCTAGTATATAAAGCAAAAATATTGTTATGGCCGTGATTATTACTAAAAACATGGTAATTAGTTTACTGAAACTCCAAAACATGGTAATTATAGGAGGCATGCATATAATGCAAAAAATAAAAATAAAAACACACCACTTCATATCTCACAGTAACAGTTGTTGTGTCGTCTGACCTGCACCAACAAGCATGATTGGCGCTCCTTTATGAAAAAGTTAAGAAGGCAATAATAATAATAAGTAAACTTTGAAGCCTTACGTGAGAGAGAGAGAGAGAGAGAGAGAGAGAGAGAGAGAGAGAGAGAGCAGACCCACTGAAGTTGAACCCCAATAGCTCACAATCATGAAAAATAGTGGATTCCATGCATCGAGCTTTGCAATTTCTAGGTGATGAAGGGCCTTTGCCCGTAGTTATAGTGTGTAGTGTCTATTAATATAATTGCTTTTGCTTTTGAAAATGAACAACTGGTCAACCAAATCTATATTTCAACACACAATGCATGATCAATTGATTTTGAGCCCGTTTAATTTACTGATTTAAATTTTTAATTTGAATTAAGACGTGATTTTATGTGAAAATTTTTTAATTTAATAAAAAAATTAAATATAATTATTTTTTAAAATTTTTTACTGTATTAAAATTTAAATCGGTAAAATAAATAATTCGATACAAATATTTTGGTAAAACTCGAGTAAAGTTGGAGGTGAAAATTAAAGTGTAAACTAATCACATGCATGCGAAACGGTAGTGTCTTTCATAACTCCTTCCAATAGTTTTTATTTTTCTATTTTTTAAGTAATTATATTTCAAATCAAATGGATACACTAATGCCTATTCGAATGACTTCATTACCATAAGAAAACTCAACCATGATCACAAACCAGATCTACTAGTGAGTTCTTAATTATGAAACGCACAAACAATAAATTCCAACGACAGAGAATCGAAAAGCACACCAATCCAAAGACATAATAAGTAGTTAACAAAATTTAAGCTTTTTCCCCTCTAATTATACCAGTGAATATACTTTGAACTTATGTACAGAACAAAGCACCAATATTTTAAAACATGATACAAATTTGTCCCCACCATAGCACCAAATCCTACAAAGCTTTTCCGAAAAGAAAACAAAAGAAGAGAAGGATAAAAGTTGACACTTTAGAGTTGCACAGAGTGCAGGGAACAAAGCGCATGAACTTTTTCAAAGGCTTTAAAGATTTAGGCGTAAAATGAGAAGAGGAAAAGAAAACTTACTTCTCTGCTTCCCATGTCAAACGTAACTTTGGTATATATATTGTCAGATGGTATTGTAACTGAAACACGGCTTAATTAAATAAAATTTGGATTAATTATGTTCAGTTTTTAGAGCAAAAATAAAGTGTAAAAATAAAAAAACACCTAATATGGTATCGCAGTTCAGTGCGTACACCTACATCTGTAGTGTCACGTCAAACAGTAAACAGTTCACTATATTTCAAAAATTACGGACACTAAGGGACTTATTCACACATGACTCTCTCATAGACAATGACGCCGTTGTGACGAATGTCTACAATGATGCTGTTAACGTACACCACACGTCTTCTATTCACCTGGCGAACTCCCTTCGACTTGCAGAGCTTCCGCTCGACAGCAACAAGCCTCTCTCTCGAAAGTCGTAATGATTAACACTAAAAAATTCTTAAAAGCACAGACGTCTCTACGAATATTTCTCTATAAAAGCTCTCAAACTCACATACCTTTTCTCTAGATATTTTCTCTATTAAATCAGTACTAGATTATGAGTTGCGATTAAGCCTTTTAAATTTCACGAGAATTTTATTCAAATTCAAACTTAGATAAGATCACTTTTATCTCTATGATTCTCTCTCGTGAACTCCAATCAGATCATCTTTCTTTCAAATTCGGATTGTACAACAAAACTCTTCTAATCCGATTCAAACAATTCGTACATCAATCACTTTATTTTCACGTTTGACTACTTCCAAAGGTTTAGAATTATGCAGCACATCTATATCTTGTCGCGGTGACCAAATTGGAACAAACCAATGCATATTCAGATTATATAATTAATTTTTAAATCCGAATTACTCATTTAAAATAGCAATTTAGGCCTGGTTCAGTTCGTATATTCGAGTTTTTAATTCGAGTTGAGATGTGATTTTATATAAGAGCTTTTTACTATAACATAAAAAGTTATATGTGATTTTTTGTAAAAGCTTTTAACCGTAATAAAACTGAAATTAAAAACTTAAATTGACGAAATGAATGAGACATTAATCTCCGCATTATCTTTGCATGCAAATAATCTTCAAACCCGAATCTTACAGACCAATGGCTTTTACCACGACACTCTTTGAATTTTAAAACAGCAACTCTTTCAAATCCGCAAACAACTAGTTCTTCACACAAAATTAACATGAATTCAAATCCTCCATCAACTCCAATTCTGAATTATCAATTAATAAAAATACTTGACATATATTATTAGCGTTAGATTCTTGCCTTCTTTTAGACTTATTAGGTTTAGATTTGGCAGGTCAAATATGCATTAATCTTTGCCCTTTTCTTCAGTTAAAAAGTAATCAAGCAAAGGCTGTTTTTTTTCCCGTCTTGTTAAACGGTGTTTGATATGATTGTATCTGTAATCATTTGTACCACTACTTAGGAGTGAATTAGAGCACGCTTTTTCTTTCACCATGTCACTGCAATGCAATGTTTCTCTTAAGACCCATTCATTTTGCTGATTTGAGTTTAAAATTTAAGTTATTTTACAGTAAAAAGTTATCACAAACAATCACATTTAATTTTTTTATTACAGTAAAAAGCTCTGACATAAAGTCATATCTCAACTCAAATTAAAAACTCAAGTCAGCAAACTAAACGGGCCCTTAGACTCTGAAAAAATGTTAAGCGCAACTCTTTATATCATTATTTGACACATG